CCCCAAAACCCCAAAACCCCAAAACCCCAAAATTATTAAAACTATTGAATTACATAATAATAGAGATTATTAGTAAAATGGAGCAAAGGTATAACCACACTAATTCATAGTATCTAGGCTTCTGAGCTTAATCAAAGCTCACTAAAGCAACAAATTGACCATTAAAACTTTATCTCACATAAAAAAAAGTTTAATTTGGCAAAAAATGCTAATATTTTCTCACAAAGAATTCTTAAGTTCGAGCTCTATTATAAGTCTAGCATTAGTCTTGCAGAATTAGTCTGAGATTACTGTGGGTGACCAATTTCTCTCTGAATATCTTCTTAAAAGCGAGTGCTAATAATGGGCCTGAAATAATCAATGAAAATTTTAATTTACTAATTCTCATTAGTCAAAGAAATTATCTTAGAATTAGAAATCATGTGAAAATTCATACGACTTGTATTACTTCTATTCAGCCCAGGAATTAAAGTAACGCTCTTGTTGACATATTTTGATCATTCTTATTTACCACTAAAATAGACCGAAGCAAGACTGGAAACAAAGTAAATTGTCCAACTCCAAAGAGGGGATTTGTGAAGGTGCAAATTTGCGGATCAGAAAACTCTCCCCAAAGAAGATCTATACAAGGAACAACCAGGTACTATAGCCTATCTTTTAAGTTTCATGGAGACTTCTAAATCTAAAATTTGCTTTGATCCTTTGCATTAAAAGTTATCATAGCTAAATAACAGGTTTATCAAATTATTAATTTCCTTGTGGTATTAACTTAACTTTCATAGTCACCGAGCGGAAGGGAGAAAGAGTTTGAGAGCATGAAATTCATGAAATCCCCATTGAGTCCTCTAATCAGTCTCAAAAAAACACTCAGAGCTTGCCAACCGAAGAGAGTTGATAATTCTCCTTTTGCACTCAACAAGCCTGAAGAAAAATCTGATTTAAAGTTCCTCTATTTTTACGGAGGGTATAATAAGACTGTTCTATATCAGAAATCCATGAGGTTTGATCACCCGGAGGGTTATCAACCACCTCAGGATGATACAGGAGAAGATCTTATGCATTTCTCTGAAAAGCAGGATCTTAAATCCAGCTTTCATGTTTGACCCAAAAAGAAAAAGTAAGTCTTGGATATCCTAAAGGAATTCAGTGAATAGGGTATTGTTAATAATTTTTATAGTAACTCACAATGGAACGATATCATGGAACTGATATTTAATAAAGATTCCACTCCTTTCCGGAGGGTCAAAAAATTGGTTGGATTAGATTTAACAGCCAGGAAGGTAATCACCACTTCAGATTTGCAATTTCATCCTCATAATTCAGATGCTAACGTTTGTTTTAGGCTGTATATCTCAAAAGAAAAAGAGAGTAAGTTTTGATAGTATATCAAGCACCTTTGGTCTCATTTTATTACAAATCTAATGTCTTAGGCGCAAATTCAGGCCAAGGTTTATCAGTATTGATAAAAGTAAGTTATCATTATCATTCTCTTCTAGAAAGGAAGATCATAGAGAGAAATCGGAGAAAAAATTGTAGAAGAATTAACTTCAATTTTAATTCATCCATTTCTCAATATTCAGAAAGCATTACCAAGCTTGTTAAATATGGAATTTTCTCAATAATTTTGCAAAAAATTGAGGATGATTATGCACTTAAAAGAGGATGTGGTACAGATTCTGAATAATTCATAGCTCAAAACAATTTTCCTAGAACTATTAGCAAGATTAGGACTGACTCTGATACTATAAAGTCAAGTCATTTTAACATTAGGAACTCAGTCCTTGAGATTAGGTCAAAGAAAAATAAAATTGAGCATCCTAAAGTGATCAGGCTCTGAAGTCTGAGAAAGAACCAACAATACTTGAAGCGAATTGATGTAAGATATCTTTATCACTCAAGATTTATGTGATCTCAAAATTTTATCTGGAGTTTAAAATTCCATTTCACCTCGTTTGTTAACACTTTTCTAGATGAAGTTTAAGAATTCTGAGGCCAGTCAAAATAGCCCGTTTAAACTTTACGCTACTGATAAACTCAGCGAAGAAAGTATCTCTATCAGGACTGATAGTGACTTTAGCTTTGAAGACCTTCCAAAAATAAACGTGGTTAAAGTAGATGCTGCTCAGAACAGTAATTGCTTTTGCCTTAATGAACCCTCAAGTGCTTCACAAATAGAGAGCGAAGGACATGGCCGGACTGAAAAACTCTCTACGTTCTTAGTAAGAAGCACTATTTAAACTTATCAAATTAATTAAAATCTCCTTTTACTCAATTTCCTAAGAATTTGAAAAAGTAAAGAAAGACAAAAGAGGAGCTACAGCTTTGGAATATATTTAAGCACTTATTAACCTACTTTGATATAGACTGAGCCTCCAGGCTGCCAAATAGACAACAAGAGACAAGGCAGTCAAATGAATTATTTAAATGTAGATACTTTGAGACCTCCTTCAACTATGGAAACCCTTCGAATGTAAGCAATATTTTAACCAAAAAATTGACATATGTTTTACACACTTTAAGGTTTTCATTGGAATATGATCCTAAAAATGTATTCTATAGGGACTTCGAAGCTATGAAAAAGTCATCTGAGCCACCTATTACTATAAACAGCGACTTTAATACATCTTCAATCACCAATATGATGACTAAAAGAGGAGGAAGCATCCCTAAAAATTCTCCAGACGTTAAAAAGTTGAAAGAGAATCCCAAATTTCCAAAGACCTTCTCAAAATTACAAAGGAAGGCTCTTACCAAAAGATTCAAAGCGAGGAGAAAACGGAATTTGTGAAGGGTTTATAGTCCTAAACCAACCCAGAAGGAGATTAGGAGGCTCAGAAGGATCAAGTCATTATAGCTCTTTTCCATATTTTCTAATAAAAATAATATTTTAATACATGCTAATTCAACCAGTTTATCACCCTTTGGGGTTTTGGGGTTTTGGGGTTTTGGGGTTTTGGGG